AGATTTTACATTAACTTTTCCACAATAGTGTTTGGTCTTAATTATATGATGTTACAGGTTAAATTAGCTTGATTATGGTCATCATTTCACAATGTAAATGTCTACCAAAATAGCACCTTGCACGTATTAAATATACAAAATTTTTATTTGCCAAGTATGCTTCAATAAAGCCGAGGGGAAAAAAAATAAAACTTTAACCCATTTTTTTCTACCAATTTATAAGGGAAGAAAATATCAGCTTAATGTCATGGCCAACTGCTAAAGCAATCAGTGGAAAAATAAGATACAGAAGAGAAAGAGAGAGAACAGTATAAAGAACAAAAGAGGAAAGGTAAAAAAGTAGCAAAGAAATGAAGTAGATATAACAGAATGAAAGAATACTGCTGAAGAGGGAAAAGGAGAGATAAACTCTAGTAAAGAACAGGACTCATGTGAGGAGAGACACTCAGGCATCCCGAAAGTGAGTATATGTTGTCTTGCCCATCTAGCTCAATGCTGCATTTCTGCCTTTATGAACATTTGTACTTTTCCAAAACTTTTTTGGAATATTTATCTATTGTAATATTAAGGAATATTGTAATGATACACAAAAATAGAATAATATTTTTTAAATCCTGAAGTATCCATCCAACCCCAACAGTTATCAAGGTATGGTCTTATCTGGGTTCATTTTCACATTTATTGACTTCCCACCTCCTGTATTTTTTTATGTAATTCTAGACATCACACAATATCAAAACTTTCAGTACAGAGTTTTAAAGCTATATATTTTAAAATTTATAATCATGATATTATGCACATCTAATATGTCACACTAATTCCTAATAACACGAAAGCATTAGTTTTCAAATTTCCAATTATCTCATATATATCACTGATTAATTTTTTTATTTTAGTTTTTTAATTGTGGATTTTTTAGTTTACATCCATGTAAGCCCCACAGAGATTGGTATATCTTTTAAGTCTTTTTTAATCTGTAGATTATCTTCCTAGCCCATTATATAGAAACCATCTACAATAAACATATAAATAAACATGATGTTTACATTCATTTTAAGGAGTAGGTACATGTACATAACATATCTTAATTCCTTTTATTCCCCTTCCCCTTCCTACAGTTCGGATTTTACTTATATTCCCATCCAGTTAGTTAACATGCTGCTGTCTCCTTTGTATCTCATAGGTTGAAATGTGATCAAATTCAGGCTTGACGTTTTGGAGGAGTGTGAGAGTCGTCAAGGCTGTTTCAAGGTCACATTTTGTTGTCCCACTGAGACATATAAAATGTTTTGTTGCCTTTGTTGGGTTAACAACCCAATAAAGAATGAGGAATGTTCAATGGCTGTATAATTTATTAATTTAGTAGAGTTTACAAGTGGTAATAATCTAATTTTATAATCCATTCTTTATTAACTAAAAATGTCTGTAAAGAGAAACTTTCATCAATTTTTCAGTAATGTGATGGGACATTTCTAATAGAAATGGTACGATAAGTATTTTTTTTAATTTTTCATGTTTCAAAATAATGATTTGATTTGCTAACATCACCCAAACATGACCAATAAGAGTTTTTATGTGAACTTATAGATGTTACTATAATTGATATTTCAGTGATTTCTTTTTCTTATCCTTATTGATGCTTAGATTTTCCCGCCTTCAGTCAGAAGAAGCTTGTTCAAATGTCCTTCTCAGTCCTTTTAATATGATCTTAAAATCTTTGATGGTTTTTGTTTTGTTTTGTTTTTTGCTTTCTAGTAATGACAAGCTATATCGGGCTTATCTCACACATTTTCTGCCCCAAAATTGGAATATCAGTCAGTTCTGTAAGAAGTCCTTGTTTTTTGTAGTAGGAAATGGAATTTTAATACAATTGAAGTGGTAGGAATGTTATTAATACTGAGAAGTCACTGTTTCCAGCCTTCAATTAAAATATATAACGAAGCTGAGAGCAGTGGTGTATGCCTGTAATCACAGCTTCATTGGGGAGGCCAAACCAGGAGGATTTCAAGTTTGAGGGCAGCCTGGGAAACTTAGCAAAATTCTGACTCAAAAGCAACAAATAAATAAAAATGTGCTGGAGATGTAGCTCAGCACTTTCTGGACTAAGTTCCCAGTACCTAGGAGGAAAAACTATCATAAATGAATTCATCCTCATAATTCAGATTTTACATTAAACAGAGATTTACTCAACTTTTTTATTAGTTCATGTTTGTAGTACATTCATCTTAGGGAGTGGGTACATATGCTTAACATATTTTAATTCCTTTTATTCCCCATTCTCTTCCCTCCCTTCATCTCTAGATCCCCTCCCCCATTTTCATTTTTTTAGCTTATATTTGCAACATGTAATAAGTATATTCATAGTGAGTAATTCATACATGTACATGACAAATATTTTTATACCTTAAATCCATATGTTCTTCTACACTAAATAGTCTAATGTGAAAATGAGAGAATAATATGTAAGTACTCATTCATTTTTATCCCCAAATATATTAATCCCATACTCAGAATAACTACCCATTTTACCACCAAAAATACAATTACAATAATACTTCATTATTCAGTTGCTTTTTTTCTCAGGTTGCATACCAGTAGAATGTATGGTAAAATAATTGTGCTTCAAGGTCAGTTGGATTTGTGTTTCTTCATGTAGTTGGACCACCGAGTCGATATTTACTTTACATTTTAAGTGTTCCTTTTTCTAAAAAATAAGTTTTTCATAATTAGGCAAATTATATTAATGGTACCAAAGTTAAATCTATAAAACAAAGAATTCCAAAACGTCTAGCTGTTATCCGTGTCCCCTCAACTCTATTTCCTTTTTCTCTGTAAGTAACCTCTTTAAACATTTTATAGTTTATTCTTTTTTTTTGGTACCAGGGATCAAACTCGAGACCTTGTGCTTGCGAGGCAGGCGACAGAACCACTGAGCTAAATCCCTGGCCCTATAGTTTATTCTTTTTAAAAATGTTTACACTCCCTTTTTCATCAGAAGAACCATTCCACATAAATATTTCCTGTTTTTCCATATACAACAGTGTGTTATGAAGAGCACTTTATGGTAGTACATGGGTTTTTTCTAACTCTTTTCCAGACCTACAGAGCTCCGTTAGGTGGATGCACCACAATTTATTTGTCCAAACCCCTCACCCCCAACTAAAGGGACATTTGTGCTTTTTCCAGCCATGTTATTATAAACTATTCTACAATGGCTAGTTTTTGGTTGTACCTTATTTTATATTTTTGTCAGTATACCTTTGGAATAAAATTGTGTAAGTTTGGTTACTGGATGTCTTAGGCCATTCAGGATGCTATAAGAAAATACTGTAAGTGACTTTTAAACAACATATATTGTGTATCTCACCATTCTGAAGACTGGGAAGCCCATGATAATGATACCAGAAGATTTGGTGTCTGGTAGGAACCATTTTTAAGCTCACAGACAGCATCTTTTTGCTGTGTCCTTACATAGTGAAAGGGATGAACAAGTTCTCTCGGGCCTCTTTTATAAGGGTATTAATAACAGTTAATGAGGGCTCCACCTAATCATGTGCCAAAGGTCCCACCTCTTGATACCATCACCTTGCCAGTAAAGGTTAGGAATTTTACGGGCACATAAACATTAATACCATGGCACTGGGCTGTAATAAGAATACTTTTTCTATTTCTGGTTGTATAGATATCATTCATGTTTCCCTCTAATAGTTGTATTTATTTTTTAAATCTGAATTTGCAGGTCTTTTTGGAGTTTTTCCTTGTTAACAATGTGATACGTGACTCTGTATTCATCTTTTTCCATGTATATCCCATTTTCCTAACTTTTTCATCATATGTTCTATTTTTTTCTTCTTAATATTTTTGGCATTTGGAGAAGTTTGTGTTTTTGTTCCAATGATAACCTTTATACTATATTTTTGTTCACTACCTTTTACCATCTTTTTCAGATATTGTCTAATGATTTCCCCACAATTAATAATATTGAGATTGCTGCAGAATTTTTGTGTAGGGGGATGGGACACCAAGGCCTTCTTCTCAGGAAGCAGTTTTATTCGTGTCAGTGCTGACTCAGTGAATCTGTATCCAAAGGCTGAGTGTTGAACGTGGTGTAGTTGCACCCTTTTATACAATTTTTGTGTCTTTGTCTCCCTTACATGGGCATACACTAACTTTTCATAGTCCGGTTGGGTATACATTAACATTCTACAGTCTGGTTGGATATGACGTATGTTATAGAGTTACAGCAGAATTACACATGCTACACAGAGGTTTATGTGGCTACATTGTAAAAAGTCCTGCCCCACAACAAATGGGGAGGGGCCCTATCACAAGATCAGGTGCAATTCCTTCTTCTTATTACACAGCATTCTCTTTTGTTCTTAAAGATGAAGCAATCAGCAATCTTATTCTACTCCTCTTATGCTCTTCCCAGCCCTCCCTGCTCCTTAATTGTTCTTTTCCTACATTGTATGTTGTAGTGGCTATATCCACATTTATAGGGGAATCTGGAGAGATTTTTTAAAATATTTTGAATGATATTCAAAATTTATGCTGCTCCCACTTCCATCTTCCCAGGATTTTCCTATTTATTCCTTTTTTGACTAGTTTAACTCTTCTCTAACTCATTGGCCCCAAAGGGCTAAGTTTTGAAAAATTGTGAAGTTGTTTTGGTTATTATAGTTACTAAGGAATCCTAAAGTCATTTGGTGGGTTGAGGCTAGCAGTGTTAGATACTTATAAGGCATAGAACAGTACATTTGTAGTTTATATTTTCAGAGATTCTTCATTAGTACATCCTACTGTAATTTTCTAGATGAGTCATTCTCCCATATTTACATATTGAAATATACATTATCAAAAATTAAGGTAAGTTAATTGTGTTTATTCCTCTTTTTAGTTCTGTATTAGGGCACATTGCTGTTTTTTTAAATTATGGGTGAAATCTCATTTCAGGATAGTAAAGTAAATATTACAAAACATGTGTTCTTAAAATATTTCAGGCAATAAGTCTGGCAGGACTGAGAACTAGGAATCTGGATGATCTCTGAATCTAAATAACAAGGAAAGAAGGGTTACCTCTGGACCACAGCAGCCACATCCACAAAGGTGTAAACCCAAAGGTGAGGGCTACATAAAACCCTAAGAGTAAGTTCCTTGTCTCTATTCTTGGTGAAAGCAAAGCTCTTTAAAGGGTATGCACTAAAGGAAGCCTGCTCTTACCCTACCTTCTATGGAGAAGCAAGCAAAAGAAAAAAGAAATAATTAGCCATGCATGGTGATGCATGCCTGTAATCCTACCACTTGGGAGGCTGAGGCAGAAGAATTGCTGTTTGAGGCCAATCTGGGCTACATAGTGAGTTCAAGGGCAGCCTGAACTACATATCGAGATCCTGTCTCAAAAACCAAACAAAAAATGAAATAATTACATAGAAAACTGTAAGGAACAGCTTTAAACACTTAAGCATAGATCATCTACAAACTTCCATATAATCAGGTTGCATATTCATCAGTCTATATGATCTAAGATATATCTTTGCATATGTAGTGCTAAAGTCAGAGTTTATTCAACTAGTAAAGATAATGAACTTGAGCAAGTGCCTTGTTGTTTACAACAGTGTGTTGGAAATGAAATGAAATAAAATGAAAATATATTTGCATTAGTCCTTAAGCTGCCAAATTTCTGCAGAGTTTGAATGTGGCTGTGTTTAGCTAATAATCTATCATCTTCTTGCCCTATAAATTTAGAGTTCTCTGAAACTATTTTTGAATTCCTCTTGATTGACTTCCAAGTTGAGGTTGTTCTGAAGCAGTCATTACCCCTGTGTCCTAGACAGGAAACATCCAGCTAAATCAGTGAGATAGTGGAAACATTTGTTGGAATAAGAAAAATGCTATGAGATTCCAGTCATTAAGTGGCTATCTAAGCAGGGTGTTATAATGTTGATAAATGGAGACACAAGGATGGATTACCAGTTTGCATACACTGTGTGGATTCCGTTGATAGACCCCCAAAAAGATGCCCATTTTCAACTGGATTTTGTCCTTATTAAGAGTTCGTGCACTTGTCTTTTCACAGTTTTTTGAAAGCTAAAATTTACATGACAAAACACCTTGAAATACATATCCAATTTTTAGAAAAATATTTCCAGTACTTTAGTGGCTAGGAATGGGGTAGATATCTGTGCTTAAGAATGTTTTATTTTTAGTTATAATGTATGGAAGATCATGTATAATATCATGTCTCTTCAGGTCAATAAGCTACCTGGGGAAAGGAATTTGTTTTGTTATTCCCATCACCTAGCATTGTAGACATTAGCTAAATGCTTATAGAATTGAATTTAATATAGAATTAAGAAGTTGAAAGAAGTAGGGAAAGTCTATAGAAAACATTTAACAGTGTGGGAAGAGATGGATTCTTGAAACAATTATACATTTAACAAATATCTAGGCTGACTTCTATCTTGACTTCACTTTCGTATGAGATTTCTAGGTTGTAGCTACCGAAGATTTATACACCAGACCGATCATGCACCTTATTTATTTTAACTGTTAACAATTTATGGAAAGAGTAAGAGATCTACCTAAGTTCCTAGTATCCTAACCATTTGGTGGGAAGATAAGGGAAGTCATCCTGGAGCTTGTGAAGGGTACTATACCAATACCTAATCTTCAGGTACTATACCAATACCCAATGCTTTATAAATGGCATCCCATTTTATCCTCCAGTCAATTCCACAAAGATGTTTTTAGAACTCCCATATTACAATGAGAGTAGCAGTGTGTTAAAATCCTTGCTTAGAATCACAGAAGCATAAGTTGGTAGAACCATATTTTGACTCCAAAGATATGGGGCTCTCTTTCCATGTTATTTGTTACACCGTACTGGAAGAGATGAGAAGTGCTAATTCTAGACATCACCCATGTCTTATTTTCTTATTCTCTTGTTATTGTCTCCTTACTTTTATTTTCAATATACTTAACCTGTTATAATCTTTTAAAAATTAGTGAATTTTTCAAGAAAAAAAATGACCCAGTAATATTTCAATAAAATTGGAATAAGTGCTTGTAAACAAGAAAATGTTTGACTTACCCTTCTCTATTTCCTCCAATGTGATATCATTTCCAAGCATGGTAACCTTGAAAAACCTGGAATCTGTACAAAGCTTTTATTTTTATGAGCTTCTTCCATCTGACACCCCAGCTTCTTGATACCTCTGCCATTGCCTTGGCGTCTTTCTTACCTGTAACATTTTGAGGACCCAGACTTTCCTCATATATAAAATTCAAGTAACCTTACTGTTAGAAACCAAAATCCAGAGATTATATAATTTGACCTGGTAGTATTGTGGTATATGGTTACTAGAAAATAAAGATGACTCCCCAAAAGAGTAAGGCTTTAAACCATCCCTCATTATACTTAATTTATACCTATAAGAAACAAGTGGAAAGATAGAAGGTGTAGTAGTTGTAATGAGGAAACCAAATCAGCTTTACAATGAGATATGTAAGATATGAGAGATTAAGTAGATAGCAAGTGAGAAACTAAATCATGACAAATGGTCAGAATCAGATTTTTTCTAGCTGAGTATTGACTAGATTCTACCTGGGGAGCTTGTAAGGAAATTTCACATCAGTCACTGTGTGATTATTTTGAGTATCTACAGCAGCTGTTCTCCAAACACATCAGTCTGAAACTAAAAAGTTAATTAAAATTCCAGATCTTCAGTTCCCATTGGTTGGGATCTACTCAATCCTAAGAGCTTCCTCTTCTCAGTTGATGGATATGAAAATGTCTACTTTCAAGGGTAATGGTTTTCTGGTCTCAGAAATGTATATAATAGAATATGGATATTTGATATCATGTGAAATTCAAGTCATATGAATACTGGCAGTTACCAAGCATTTTTGGCCTGTTTCCCTTATCTATAATAATAAATTGTAAATGACTAAATCTCCTGTGAAACATAGAAGGGATGATCAAAGTTCTTCCTAATTTCCCCATAAGGGCAAGTATTATTTTTTTTTCCATTCAGACATATTTGTTTTATTTTCATTGCCTTCTCTCTTTTTTTGTATTAAATTCTTTTATTGGTACATTGTAGGTATACAACACAATTACATTTCTCATTGGGAATTGTACCTTTATATAAT